CTGACAGAGATAGGGGCAAGGGATTGTTTTAAGAGGTAAACCAAACCTATTCTAACCAGAGTGGGAAGGTCAAGATTCATTCCATGGGTCTGCCATGAAATAAATTTAAACCTGCCCAGGCTGGATTCAAAAATGTTAAAGTTAAGCTTTAACATGCTAGGCCATCATCATCTCTTGAAAAATGTGTCTTTGTTTTTTTTGTCTTCCCTTCCTGGCCTTTTAGGCTATTCCGGGGTCAGGAGGTGAGGGCGAGAGATTAATAATAGAGTAAAGCTCACCCCCCTCCGACAACTCCCCAACTCGTGATTATTATTTACTCCAACTTCCGTTATAAGATTGCATTAAAAGACCGAGCAACGGACGGTGCAGTACACAGGTGATAGCCTGCTCAGAAATCCTGCTCCAAGGCTTGAAAAATTGGTATTTAGTTGCGGGGAGTTTAAGTTTCAGGTGTGACAGAAAATCTATTGAATGAGTTACTTATGAGGCAAAAAGCTTCCTGTCCAACAGAACAAACATTGATTGCTCTCAAGATTTGTTTAATTTTGAGGCCCACTAAGGCGACCCTAGAAGCTGGGTAGGAAGATAGAAGGGTAGCCTACTCCTCTCCAGCAAGTGAGTTAAGTTAGACGGCCCTACCACCTTTTGTATTAGGCGTTACACTCTATTTCACATGTCTCTTTTTGCAAGGGCAGGATGAATATTTAAACCATTTAAATTCACGTTCACTTTAATGTACGAAATAAAATGTAAACAAAGAAAAAGTTGTAATAAACAACTATATCTGAAACTACCAAGGCTGATTCACACCTGTATTATTGAAGTATAGGACAGTGATGAATTCAAAAATTAGATTTGTATGACTCTCACCTCAATGTGTTTTAGAAACTAATATCTCTGGTAGGGATGGGTCAATGGAACTGGATCAGGAACGGGAACCTAATCTTACTATAAATGAATGAATGAAAATAATACTATTATTCTGGGAGTAATATCCCTTTAGAACAAATTATAAATACAGAATATATACTAAGATTCTGGTGTGTCCATAAAAAACGATTAAATATTTACAGGATGATTAGTAATAAAATTAAAGTGCAGATAACGGAAATATATAAAAACGTACATAAATATAAAATAAACAGAGTAAGTGAAAAATGTTTTTTTCTTACCCTCCAAAATGTTTATTGAATCAATTTACACATATAGTATACATAACAATACAATATATACATGTAACAAATTCCTTCTACTGCATTAGAGTAAGTAAAATAAATAAACAAAATATAAATAAATCACAAAGTAATCAAAGTATGTGGGAGTACTTTGAGATTCGTAATAGAATGGATTTAGAAGTTAGGGGGATCCGATCAGGATGGCTTTTGTCTTCTCCTTAGTTAATGTGAGCTTATTAAGATTTAAGGCAGGAGACAAAATTGCCCATGCGCATATTCTTTTGATGTCTTCTTGCAGTTTCAGGATGGCATTAGAGGAATCCGCTGGCTTGAAGGAAAAGTAAATTTGAACGTTGTCGGCATATAGGTGATATTGACAGTGCATGATAGAGGAAGGGAGGTCATTGATATAGATTGAAAAGAGGAACTTTGTGTGACGCCTCTGGACAAGGGTAGAGACACTGATGGAGGGTTATTAGGGACTACAACATAGTGGGAACGACTGGTGAGAAAGGATTGGAACCACTTAAGGAAATTAGATAAGGAAATATTTTTAAGTTTGGGTAGGAGGATATTATGGTCAACTGAGTCAAATTCTTTAGAGAAATCAAGAAGGATCAGGACGGTGAGTTTCTGTTGGCCTATGGCTGTGTGGATTTTAATGAGGGCGGAATGAGCAGAGTAGTCAGGTCTAAAACCAGACAGGAAGCAGTTCAAAAGGTTATTTTGTTTGAGATAGTGGGATAGTTGGGATTGTACTATTCGTTCTGAAGGTTTTGAAAGGTTAGATAACAGGGAAATTGGACAGAAATCATTAGGGGTTGCGGGATTAGAGGTTTTGTCCAGTGGACGAATGAGGGCAGTTTTCCAGGTGCTGGAAAAACTGGAACTTTGTAGTGAAAAGTTGTAGATATGATAAAGGATTGGGAAATGGATGGAAGTAAGGATTTAATTAATTTAACTGTGATATTATCTGGTCCGAAATCATTGGTTTGGGGTTTACGAATGGATTTAAGGAGGTTGTCAGGAGTAATATGAGAAAAGAAAAAATGATTGGGATTAAAGCAGGGATAAATGAGGGGTGGAACTGTTGATTAGAAAGAGGGATAGGAGGAACAGGAGACAAAATGAGTGTTGAGTACATCAGCTGAAATAGAGGTAGTCTGGGTTTGCTTAAGGATAATTTACGGAGGATTCCCCGCATGGCTTTGGAGTTTGTAATGGATAAGGATTGTTGAAAGTAATGGGATTTGGCATGGTGTATCAAGTATTGTGTACTGTTTCAAAGCAGCTTGAAGTTCGTACAGTCTTCGGAAAGTCGATTGCGCATAAACCTTCATCAAGCCGCATCTCTTCATTTAATACAATCTTTTATTGCAGACGTCAACCAAGGGGCTGGAGGATACTTGCTTGTCCTAACTTTAAGAGAAGCATAACTATGGAATGGAACGGAACAGTTCCAACGACTGAGAATTATCGATACCGCCGGATTGGTAAGGAGTTGGAATGGCCAGTAGGATAAGGAGTGGAGAGGCCGGTTCAATAAGGAATGGAGGAACAGTTGGCTAAAGCATTCCAGTCTCGTTCCAATTCCGTTCCTGATGATTCAATAAGGAACAGTTGGCAAAAGCGTTCCAGTCCTGCTCCAGCCGGCTCGATAAGAGAAGTTATAGGAGCAGTGGCAACTCCTGCTATTTAAAATAATTATCTAGTTTTAATTACCTCTTTCACTATTTTGTATTTTGAAAACAAATTAATTTAGAAAAACGTTAAATAATTATTTCTGAAATAATTCTAGTTCAAAAATGTTTAAAATTCTCAGGATTTAGGGTGGTGTTAAGCTCAATTATCATCCCGTAAGCCTTCAGGTTCATACAGTTCTAGAATTCTGCAATTATTAAAAGTAACTATTAATTGACTTATATTGATTTCTTCTTAATTATCCTGCTTCAAAAGATATAAATGATGTTGCAACGAAGAAGCCAAAACATATAGATACGAATCCTTTGAAAATTTGTTTATATTATTAAAAATATATTTGTACTTGTTACTATTGTAACTACAATTTAATGAGAAAAGACAATCACATTTTTAGACATCAACATTTATTTGTGCAATTAGTTTTCTTTACTAACGTTACTTTTAGGTTTCTTTTCTTTCTATTTAATTAATTATCTTTGTTTACTTTACTTTATTTGCAATATGACTGTAGCTACATACTTGGATTTTCAATCAACCTTTTAATTCAATCATGTAAAAATCAAAGTATAAAATTTATAATTTTAAATGTTTTATTTAATATTAATGTTACATTTCACATAAAAGTTAATTTTAAATGTTATATTTTACTTTTTTATATTAAATAAATTGAAGCTTATGCAGCATTTTACAGTAACTAAACAAAGAATAGAGCGAAAATAAAACTTACTTAAGTCTGTGGTTGGAAGTTACTGAACTATAGATACTACCGATAGTTTTTCATCGATAGTGAAAAACTATCGACTATCGCCAATGGTTTTGAATTCTGGAGTAACGGCATTAGAACGATATCGATAATTTGGAACACTTCCATTTGGAGAATGGAACTGATTGGAACAGGTAAACTAAAAATCTGTAACAACCTAATCTCTGGTGAAGGCATAAATTGAAAAAAAAAAAAAAAAATATATATATATGTGTATTTTTATGACAGAATATATATCAAGAGATATCGTAATCTTAGATTCTTGGAGTCTTTGTTAAAATGTAATGAATCTGATGCATCACTAATACATTTATAAGTTATAAAAACTTCAATTAATTCCATAATTACCTCTCGCTCTTACTATCACTCCGGTTATTAGTACTCTCGGCTATTGTTACTACGGGCTCCATGTTGTGTGATTATAATAAAAAAAATGAACACTGATTCCAAGTTTGAAAATATGCAAGAATAGACATGGTATATCAAAAGTAGTGCATTATGGTAAAGTGAAGTGGTGAGGGGATTGAATCCCAATTCAGAAGGAAATTTGAAAAATCAGTTTACATGATCCGACTTCTAGCCTACCTGACCATTAACTTGTTAGGTCAGGTCTGATTGTTTAATTAGGCCTTAAAAGTTAACATAATTTAAATTTGTTTTAAACATTTTCATTTTTATAAAAAATGTGGAAATTGACAACTATCAACTCAAAGCTATATCAAATTAACATATAACAATGAAAAAAATATTTACAGTTTGTGACAGCTTTACACAACTCTTATTTCATAAAGAATATCGTATACAAAATCATCATAACACCGTTGTATTAATACCAGTACTACTCAACTTCTTAATTTATCCAAAAGGATAAACAATGAAAATTTATTCTTCAAAATATTTTATGAAACAAGTAGTTGTTAAACTTACCACCAAGTTTTATGGGATAAAACATCCTATCTCCTCTTTGACAAGCACAAAAAAAATTAACTATATTTAATATTACTAAATAATGAGAATAGTATAACTTTAGATGAGAATTGTTACTCTACTGGTGATAATCAGAAAGAAACAAAGATTGAATGAGAGCATAATCAAAGGAGAGGTTAAAAATAAAAGCTAGAATTGGTAAGTTCGCCTATGAAATAAATTTATTGGATCAGTGCATTATTAACTAAATAAATGGAAAACTGCAAATGAATAACTGTATAAAGTTGAAAATTGTAAATTGAACTCACATAAGGTTAAAGCAAATTTCAAAATTTAAAACTTACAATATCAAAATCATGACAACTTAGACGAGGCAACAGCCAATGCATATTGTGTATTTATTTATTTAATTCCAATGAAACTAAAAGATATACCTGCACTTAATGTTGACTACTCGATTGAAAAGAAATGCTCTACCAGTGGCTCCTGTAAATCTCGTACTAATGAGTTCACTTCTATTTGTCAGATTAGCATCACAAGATGCACAGGAGAAAAGTCTAGCACCTCCTAAATGCTCTAAGAAAATTTTCCCCATTTATAATCCTGAAAACATTAATGAATATAAAATATATATATATGTGTATAATTAAAAAGAAACCAATTAAAATTACAGATGAATCTAAACAAATGTTTTCAAAAAAATATAATGACAAATAAAAAATACAATTCTGTTCAAAGAAAAAATAACTACATAAGGAATGCTGACATATTTACTAAAACTACGTAATATCCAAAAAGAAACAAACGACTAAATAATACTAAAATCAATGGAAAGTATACCTTAATGATAAAACAATATTTAAAGTACCGATTATTGAAGAATTGGGACACTACGAACAAAATATGTAACTGGAAATTACAAAATCCAAAAGTAAATAAAGAGAGAGACAAAGTTTACACGATCAGCTGATTGGTGACTGTTCAAGAACCAATAAGAAAGTAGGCACTAAAGGAACCTTGCATAGTGCTGCCACCTATCCTCAGTAGGGCGAACTTCCTTCGCTGGCAGGTTTCATATCTATTTTGAACTTAGAAGCCCGCGTTTGCTGTTCGTTTTCGTTGCCCGCCTTCAGTGCAGTTATACGTTAAATGAATGATTATTACTGGTATTTGAAAAATCAAATCCTAATAACTCAACAATACTATTTGAGAATTATTTAACAAAAACCGTTAGATTTGAAGATGTTACAAAGAGAAGAGGTGCGCGCGCAGGTTTGTTGTCGAATCTAATTGGTTGAAATTTCAAAGTGTCTCGCCTAGTAAAACCATACAACACCAGAGCGCCCTACTAGAGAAACATGTCCTCCGAGAATTCACTTTATATTTTTTCACGCTTTTAAATGTCGAATTCAACAGTATATGAAATGTGTGTTAGAGTGTCTTGTTTTATTTTTAATTTAGAAATATTCACAATGGTTGAGTGTTTTTAAAATGAATCAGACTTTGGCCTGTTATGTGGATCATAATTTACTCGTGACATCAAACAACATCAAAGGACCAGGTATTTCAAAGGTATATCTTGTTTTTGTACTATAAACACTAGAATATTAATTTTTTAAGTGGTTCATATTCTTCAAATAACATGATTTCCTTTGTGCAAATAAATCTCAGCGCGATCCGTTCGATCTTACATCCAAATATCTTCTGTTGAAACATCAAAGGATTTGCCGTTCACTGAAGCGGAATAATCGTTTGTGTAACTTTAAATACTCGTCCAAGATACTTAATCTGTGTTTGTTTTAGGGTTTATAGTTAATTTTACAATCAAGAAATGGAGTCCATTTAGAAAATTCTTCGGTATGGTGTCTATTTTTGGATTTCTATTTGTTTCTCGGTTCCTTTGATCTTTCCCTTCATGGACCACAAAGGATAGGTAAACTGTTGGAATTCAGGAGTTCTGGGTCTTCTTTTTCGTATTTTTATCTTTTACCTGAATAGGTATTATTAGTTTGTTTTTTTAAAAATATATTCCTTCTGTGTAAAGTTTTCTTGAAGACCTAATTTTATTTTGATTTCAATGATAAAGATTTTTTTATTAATCTTTCATTTTAAAAATTTATTTCATGTTGATTTACAAATCCTTTATTTTGATAACTGTCCCACTTTGAAAATAAAAAATATACAAAGTAATAAAAGAAAATATTGATAAGGCTGAAATATTTCTGTACAAGGTAGAGAATATGTATTATTAACTGACCATTGCTTTTGCACAAGTGAAAGTTGAAAGGAACTTGTATCTAAGCAGTTTTCCTCGAGCCCTGATGAAGCTAATAAAATGAAAAAGGGTGGCTGGTCCCTTGATTTGACCACATGAAAATCCATAGGAACAAGGGAAATGTGAAAACTACCTGGGCAAGTTGATAAACAACATAGAGAATGATTCAAAGGATAATTGTTGGAATGCTTTGATCTTTATGTTCTGTCAGTGAAGCCTTTTAGTTACATTATACTTGACACCATCTCTCCTTTTATTCCTTGACATTACTAACTCTTAGCCAAATCCCCAGCCTTTGACTTGCCTTCATTTGTTTCCCACTTCAAAACTCCTTTTATCCTTCCTCACAGCTGATCTTATATTAATTGCTTCCTTTTCCTCCCACCCCCCCAAGTGCACTCCCTTTAATAATTACAGTTCAACCTTCAATTTTCCCTTCTCTCATATTCTTTTCTTTATTCTTCCATTCCAAACTCTTCTGATTGCTTATTGTCTCCAATGTAGACTAGTGGAATTTCCTTTTATTTCACTTATTTTGTGTTATCAAATCTGCACACCTTAGCAATTTAAAATATAAAAAAAAGTTTGTTCCTATTGCTGGTACTGAAAATTTAATTGATCCAATTTTTATTAATTGCAATTAAGATCTTAAATTTGAATGAATAACTTATAATATGAAGCTCATATTAATGTATTTTAATAAATATTTCTATAATAATTCTTATCACCAGTTTTAATTAAAACATTGATTGTAGTTTTAAATAATTTATAGCTAATTTTAAGTGGTGATATATATTTTATTTTTAATTAACGGTTTTCATTAAAAAATATTTATTTATGGAGTTGTCAAACTATCTTAACTTTGTATAATTTCCTTGTTGTTGGAAAGTCTGAAGTGGTGAAATTTTGTTTTGTTTTCTTTTTTAGATCTTGTATTTGTAATTCAAATGATTTTTCATTAAAAAATATATATATATATATATATATATATATAGCATTCTAGTTTTCAGTTTTTGCTATTTTTACAAATATCTTCACTCAAGTAAAATTAAAAAGGGGGGAGGTAGGTTATCTAGAAAATAATAAGGAGCTGGAAGGGAACTGGGCTGCATTCTACAACTCTGATCAGAGGCCATTAAAATAATCACATCTAATTACACTAACATCACAGCTCCCTCAGCATCAAAAGCGCCGCCGCTCTTCTTGGGACTTTGAGGAATTTCAAACAAGCTTTTTTAAAGAATTGTACCAAACCTATATGGCGGCAACCTTCATCAAAGGGTGAAATGTTGTTTTATGTCAGCGAACCGAAGCGAATGTTAAGAATTTCCTAGATCAGTTTCCAGAGATTGTTTTCCGTTTTTTATTTGCTTAATTTGTTGAGTTTGTAATTTTTCAGCGAAAGGTTTTATCATTTATTTTTACTTGAATAAAATCGGAAGAAAATATTTCGGAAGGAGTGTAAAGAATACTTACAAACTTATTTACTAAGTACTCATAGAATATAAGTTTAACAAAATTATAATCTAATGGTTTCAAAAATTACTTGTTTTTTTTTTAACAATTATAATTTTAGCTAAACAATCATTAGCTGGCTGATCTTAACAAAAGATTAGATGCCTGACAAATAAATATTTGTTATTTGCATTATAAATTGTGCCCTGTTTTCAACCGAGTTAAGAAAATTTTGTATGTATACTTACTAGTTACTACGATTCTATCGCATTGGCCCGTTCTTAAAAATTACACCGTAAAGACAAAATATTTATTATCACCCAAATGCTGTGAAGATAAAACGAAAACAAAGACGACAAAACGAAATAGAAGCAGAAAAAGCATTACGAAATAAATATTACATATCTTATCATTATATTAACAGACAATCCGTTCTGCGTTTGTAACCGCCTACCGCAAAAATTAGTGCACCAATTTACATGATTTTTTAACATTGTTCAGTGTTGTACCGAGGTTTTAAGCTATTAAAATTCACAATCTGGCCATGTAAGACAACAATTGTCGCCAAAACGTAGACCAGATAGAACTTGTGTTGACGGGTTGGAAAAACAAATGTTAATAACCTTCAATACTATTATTTTAATTTAATATCTTGTGGCCAAGCGAGTTAAAGAGTTAAACTTTAAGGATTTCGAGTCAAGCTACGCCGGTTTGAATACCGCCTGGGCGAGTTGAAATTTATTTTCTGACGGATCCACGGAATGAATCTCTACATTCCCACTCTGGTTAGAAAAAATCCTCCGTATTCCAGAAATGGCGAGATAGAAAATAAAATAAAAAACATATTAACTAAATCTTAAGTATTTGAGTAGAAAGAGAACTATTTAATTATATAGATAAATGAAAGGTGTGTGATGTCGGCGGCACCAATTATTTTCTAATCTCTCTATTATATATTTCCGTTTTTAGTGAGTTTCATATTTTATTTCAATATCAGTAGGGTTGGAGATTACAGGAGCTCAACTTATTAGGTGATTATTTTACCAATTATACAGCTGTTCATTTAATTACATATTTGTTAAGCTCCTGTTACCTACTACTCTCCTAATACAAAATAAAGATTTTAAACTATAAACTAGTACGGGAATTCATCTGGAGGTTGTAATTTGATTTTACTAAGGTGACAGCAGTTATTTTTCGATCTAGACATTCCCCCCTGAATACAATATGTTAATTATTATATTATATGTAATATTATTTATATTATATTGTGGTATAATTATAATTATTATGAAATAGAAAATGAAGCACAATATAGCGTACAATGAAAATATTAGAAATAAGAGACAAAAGTTTTGTTGAGTTTATATGAAGCTCGGCAAGTTGAATATACATTATGGTTACAGATTGGCAATAAAAATAATTGTAATAATATAAATTTGTGTTAAAATAAACTTATATAATAAGTTTCCGATCGCAACGTGAAGATGGCAGCACTCGTAAATAAAAGCGAGTGAATTTTGTTGTTCATGTGTTGACAGTTACTCACCAAAGTTTCAGCCATTTTGGATGTGCAGTTTTTATGTAACAGTCGCTTGAGTGAGTAGATGTGAGTGTTTTTATGAAAATGGACAAAATCAAGTATCGAGCTGTCATTAAATATTTGTTTTTGAAAGGCAATACACCTATGCAAATTAAAGATGATTTGGATTCTGTGTATGGGGGCTCTGCACCATCATTTACCTCAGTGAAATTTAGGGCAGCTGAATTTAAACGTAGTTGTAAGAGCTTGGGAGATGATGAACGTTCGGACTATCCAAAAACTGCAACTACCGATGAAAACATCGCCAAAATTCACCAAACTGCTAGACGACCGCCGAATTAAAGTAAGAGAGATAGCAGAGGTTATGAACATGTCAAAAGAACGTGTTTGTTACATATTAAATCAAAATTTAGATATGAGAAAGCTGTCCGCACGTTGGGTGCCGCTTTTGCTCACATTCGACCAAAAATGTGTTCGAATGATTATTTCCTACGATCTGTTGGCGCAGTTTGGGCGCAATAAATCCGAGTTTTGTCCACGATTAATTACTGCAGATGAAACTTGGATACACCATTATACGCCCTAAACAAAAATTCAGTCCAAACAGTGGACTGCAAAGGGAGAACCGGCTCCAAAAAAAGCAAAAACTGTATTCTCGGCTGTGGAAGTGATGGTGACTGTTTTTTGGGATAGTCATGGACTTATTTTAATTAACTATCTTCAAAAAGGAAAAACCATGACAGGAGTATAATACGCACCATTACTTGGAAAGCTGGCACATTTGCAGAAAAAGAAAATCCTGTTTCACCGAGAAACTTGTGCTCGGAGGACAATGATTTTTGTTAAATGGAGAGGCAGTCACCTTCGTGAACAATTATTTTGCAGAGAAAAACACCGAATACTTTTTGAACTAGTTACAGAGATGGGAGCATCTGTGTGTAAGAGTTAGAAGGCGACTACGTTGAAAAATAAAAAATCAGAAAAAGTTGTCTTGTATTTTTGTTAGTTTGGAAACTTTTCAGACCACCCTCATATATATATATATATATATACATTAAACACATAGTTTATTATACTAGTATAATTATATTTTATATATATATATATATATATATATATATATATATATATAAACTTTGTGTTTGCTTCATGTTGATAAAAATAATACAATCTGAACAACGGAATATATGCAAATTAAAGTTATACAATTTTAGCAACAAGTAGTACAATAAAATGAACAGTTGTATATTTTGTAAAATGAGGACAGGTGATATACCCTTAGTGATTTAAAAAATAATAAATCACGTAACGTAAGTACAATTAAATTATGAAGTACGACCAATCTAATCTGGTCAATCTTAGTCTCGCGCATATTCAGTGGCGTAGTCCCTAGTTTCAAATAAAAAAAAATATACGAAAACCCACAGTTTGTTTATCTTACTAATTAATCTTGAGTTTAAAGATTTGTGAAACAAACGTAATACTAATAACTTTTTATATCCAAGATATTTTATTTTTAAAATGTCTTGAAAAAAAGTGATCTAGTTATGCTGAGCCGCCTATTAACTGTTATCATACATTTTGTTTATAACCATGAATGATTGAAAAGAAAAGACCTTTGTTTCATTTTTTATTTCCGTTTAAAAGACCAGCTATTGATTGATTCATTTATTCAACTTATTTGCTAAAAAATTTGTTCTTGGTTAAGCATTACTACTTATACCAGTTCCAAGGTTTTAAAGTGTAAATAACCAACCGTTAAGTTTCCAAGAAGTTGTCAAATTGTGTTGAAGTTTTGGAAGGATTCTAACAAGAATCGAGATGATATATTTGATCGTTTGAAATATACCTTTTTACTATTATTATATCAAAATTGTGTTGAATGTGCAGAACCATTTAGTAACAAATATTTGAAATTAATAAATGATCTTAAAACTATATAGTAAATATATAAGTTGAAAGTTTATATACTTACTAATATGCTTAGTCCTTTATCGTTTAAAATAGGCTTGCCTTACAAATTACAATATTGTAATAATAGTTTTTTTTTTTTATTCTTCCCATTATCTAAGGTAAAGCACTCAAAAATTTGTACCCTCGTAGCAGAGGCCTCAAAGGTACTCCAGACAGTAGAAGATTTCAATGTGAATTATGAAAGTTTATTATTTCAAGTAATTTGAACCTTCTCTGCCATCAAAAATCCGCTAATTTAAAAAATATCTGGTCACTATGTAGAGATTATGTTGCGAAAATTGTGGGTAATTCTTTTTATGTTTGTATATGGGTGCAAACATATATAAAAAAAATGCTGCAAATTATCACACTATGGTTTATTATTTCCAAACAATTTAACATCAAAATTAAGTTCACTTTCCATGTAACATTAAGGAAAATAAATAAAAAGAGATCCAGATCCCTAACATGGCCGGCCTAAATAATTTTCATTTTTATCATTGATTATTTGCTATAAAAAAATAGACAAAATTACTGAACATATAAAAATATTTAGAACACCATATCTTCGTACCAAATTGTACGATTTCAACAATTTTGTTTTTTTTTACTTTAAGGACATTTCGTACACTTTTGAAAAACCATATACATCAACAAAAAATCGTATACTTTAGATTTATTCGGAAATCTTATTTTACCACCCCTCACAAATTTTTTCTAATTTCTTTTCGTTGAAGTGCGTTATATAGATTTAAAAGATATCGAGGAGAAGACTTTAGCCAAGTTTCTTTAAAATTTGTACATTCGTTTAAGTGCTACCATCTATACCAGGGGTCTCCAAACCTTTTGGCCCGCGGGACACATTGAGACCTCCACTGAAGTCCCGCGGGTCATGGCTTGTGATAAAAAAAAAAATCTTATCCTATAAAGGACAATTCAGTTGTGAAACAAGCTTTCTAAAAGGAAATGCCCAGGTATTAAATATAATAACCTCTTGTGTGAGTAATTTTCTAAATTTCATCATTTTTTTAAAAATAGTTTTATTAAAATTTTACCATGTGATCAAAGAAATTTTGGCGAGCTGGATTGGAAGTGCCTGCAGGCCGTAGTTTGGAGATCTCTGGTCTACACCAACACAGATTTTTCAGTCGCCATCTTGGAAGGGAAGGATGGATAATAATGTTGATGTGGAAGGATCATCTTTGGATAACCTGTGGCTTTGGCTTCAAATTTGAAAAAAAGGAATCGATCACAAAGTCCTGGAGAAAAGCTGCGGATGGACATTTTTTTTTATTCGAATTTTACGTATTGTGAAACGTAAAACCTCAAATTTTGAGGGAGAGTTAAATTTTTGCATTTTTTTTTTGGAAGATTACAACGGTTCATTATTGAAAATAATAAACCAAAAGACTGCTAACATGAGTTATCTCGGTAGAACTTTTGACAACATAATTTGTAATAATTAAAATACGTTAAACTGTGAGTAGAATGAATAACGACTTAGTTAAGAATGAATTAATATCTTGGTTGGCTTAATAATTTGTTTAAATGGTATGACCAGAAACCACGGTCAACAAAAGAAGATTTCTACCAACTTAGTCACGAACTCAGATGCGTTACGATAGCTTGAGTTCTTTATGAGTAACAACTATAATAGGATAAAAGTTGTAGGTAATTGAATTGGGATTCGTCACCTCTCCATGAAATTATTTTCTTTTTATACTCATTTGCCGAAATCCATGATATTCAGGTACCGTGAAGGAGATTTGTACTATAAATAGCAGATTAGAATCAACAATAAACACCCGTAGTGTTTATGAGTTGGAAATCGTATATACATTCATAGTCAATTGACAGACATCGGGAGATTGCCAATTTCGAAAAGTGTGCTTGACCTAATTTTAAAATATTGGTACCCAGTGGGAGCGAAATTGGATGCTCAATACTTGTATTATATTAATTTTTCGTCTTAGAGAGCTATTATCTAAGCCGCGTCTGTTATATATTGTAATATACCTCAATTTTTTACAAAGTTGGTATAAACAGTCGTTTGTTGACGGTGGTTTCTGAACTCACTACTCAGTGACGGCCTTAGACATTTGGGCGCCCTCGGATAATGACGTCATCTCCCCTCCCCCCCTAAAAAAATTTATTTATTTTTTCAGCTGCTTTATATTATGTAATATTTGGATTTTATTTCATTGCATATTTCACTAATACAGTTAATTATTTTAATACGTTTTGAAGATTTTTTTAAAAAGTTGCGAGCGCTCTTGAATTGGTTGTCAATAGTTTTCCCGAGACAGGCCAGTCTTAGTTTTTATATGTTTGCATCCATTCATAAAAGTTTTAAAAATAATAGCATTAATTTACCCCTTAGTTAAATAATAGAGTTTCTTAAATTTGCAAATAGGTGAATCATATATTGACAATTCTCATAACCCTTTGGGTTCTTTGACAAGTGTATCTTTTCTGATAGCTTATAAATAGTTTTCTAAAAGCACCGACAGAACACGATAAGGCTCTTTATCCAGACTTAAGGAACAATTACAGATTTCGGCAAAATGCCCCTTTCTAATTACGGATTTAAAAGCAAAGCGATTTATATTAGAGCTAACCTGTATTGACTTGTTGATCAATTTGTGATTTTTTAGCACTTGAAACTTGTTTTGAACAATAGTTGTAAAAAACAATCTTTCCATTTGTTGTAAAAACTGTTTCATGTTTATTTTGGTACTGTTCAATCCAAGACGAAAATGAAGAACTTTCTCTTGTGATTTTAGCGAACAGATATTTAACTCTTTCTAAGACCGTAAACAACAAACTGAAAAAGAAAATGATGTTTACATAGCAGAAGAAGGGGAAATGGATTTCCGCAAACCGGTGAACATCCATGAAGAGAATTATTGAAGGGTTTTGCGAACGATATGTACCTATGAAGTCTACAAATGTGTTTCGATTTGTTTAGTTCATTGAAAGTAACGATTGCAATCTTGAATTACATCTTCAATATTTCATTTTAATTTGCTTATATAAATAATTATTAATTTGTTTATTTTTATTATTAATTAATCAAAATATGCATTTATCCTCAAGTATGCCAAATAAAATTTGGCTAATAGCATAACAGTGTACTAATTCATAGAGATAAATGATCGGCGGTTTAAAAAAATCATGTAAACAAAATATGCAATCGCATAAAAATCCGGGCCTTGCTTATAATATACCAACATTAGAAAAAAACAGGTTGGTATTGATTGGTCTTGTTTTATTTCCCTCCAAAAACATTTGGGATTCTTTGTACTAAGGTACATATTTCCGCTATAGTCTATTATTGCAATAATTAGTAGTATATATAGTATATTAAGTCCTCCCTTAATTTTTACCTACCGTGGTGGCCGTGCGTCCGTGCGTCTTTAGCAACATCAGAAATCTAGAGCCAGAAGAGACGCTGGTTCTGGTCCGACCCGGAGGGTTAGCTTTGATTTCGTTGTAGATTTACGAAATGAATTTCTCCCTTTTAATAACCCAGACCAACTATATATTTGTAATTAAATTTGTTTAGCGTCGTTTTTATACATAATATGGATACGTAAAACGTATAGATTATTCACTAGTTTCCAAAGGAAATGAGTATTTTGTTTCAAGCAACATCTTGTTCAAAATTATTATCATTGTTTTCTCTATTTGTGATTTTTTTAAATATTTTTAAAAATGTTAGCATCTAATCAAAGAAATTTTAGTGGACCGGATTAGGAATGTTTTTGGGCCGCAGTTTGGAGACCTCTAATTTATTGTGACTTTCTCATATTACCACGAATATTATAAAAATTGGCGACTGTAATGACCCATTTTCGCGATATTTTTTTTTTTTTTTTTTTCCAATCTGAAGAAAAACAAATTTTCAACTCCACTGCTTAACTTTAACCTATAAAATGGATGTTAGCCCTATGAAGTGAACCACGGTAGTTGTTCGCGTAAATCCCAGAATAACATTTTAGCACAATGCAGCTAACCTGCTGTATTTTATTGGCCTTTTTTTTTTTTACAGAAAACATTTTCTTAGTTGGTTAGTGTTATCATCCCTTAGTGCTTTATGTTGAAATACGTAAGTACCATTAGTGGAAATTAACTAACAAAAGTTGCCAAAAATTTTCACATCTGGAAAATTTAAAAATTATATATTGCATGTTTAGCGGACATAACTGGACATTTATCGTGATGCCATCGTTACTGCTTTTCCAGTTGTTTTACTCGGTATTGTTATTAAAATGTATTTTCTTTATTATGCTAGTAAATGAAATGTTATCCTTAATGAATTATAGCATGGTTACAAGCAGCGTGCATCGCCTGGCCGCCTTAAGACAATCAATCACGTGGGACGTATAAGAAGCGCAGTACCCACCCTGGTGCTGTACTTCTCATTCCTTGTCCAAGGCATCCTCAAGAGCCATCTCAACCAACGGATTGATCGCTTAGTAGAGTCAGCTGCAATTAGCCGGCCGGCTCGCTCTGAAGTTTTCCTTTATTTGCCACAGCTAATTAAATATTGTCAGCTGATTATTCACAGCGAGATGGAAGTATTAATTAAGAGAGAGCGCCCTCTGTAATAATGAAGTGATAAACAATAAGGGCTACCTCAGCCATTTCAATGGAAGGGCCAATCAACCTCCATTCTCTAGGGTCTTAATCGAAATTCCTCTCTTCGTCCTCGTCTTTTTGCCGTGTCGGAGAGTATAATAGATCCTTGGTTCGCGAAAACGCTAATGGATCAAATTTATCTTTCGGTAACTAGCTACAAAACCTTGTTGTTATTACTGGAGGTGATATGCTAGGAGGGTACACTATTAAAGTTCTTCGTCATAAAAACCATAGAATATTACTGAGAAGGAATTAGTCGAGGGTGCGGTCAAAAAAATAAAAAAAATTAAAATATATAAATAATTTTAATTTTTGCCGACGTTTCGACCCACTTTGCAGGTCGTCTTCAGGGCGTTGGATGTGGCACTGCGGGAGGCGGTTGAAACACTCAGTGTTTCAACCGCCTCCCGCAGTGCCACATCCAACGCCCTGAAGACGACCTGCAAAGTGGGTCGAAACGTCGGCAAAAATTAAAATTATTTATATATTTTAATTTTTTTTATTTTTTTGACCGCACCCTCGACTAATTCCTTCTCATTCATATCAACGGTCAACCAACTCTACATCATCATAGAATATTACATGTTATGTTGAGTAAATTTCAATTTTATATTAAGTCAATTATAAGTTTAACATGTATTGAACAAAAATTAAGTGAAAACTCTTATCGATGAAACTTTAAATTATTATATATCAGTGTAATACAGATGTAGTACACATGAATTTAACACATACCTTAAACTAGAGGTGACCCATCATCGATTGATAGATATGTTTTCTACAAATATTTTTTAAAAATCAATTATTTATGCGTGTACTTTATAATATATACTTCTTTGATTTATTTCAGAAACGTCCTCTACTTATATACGGTTACGGACTTGAGGTGACTGATTTCAATGAATCTTATTTTGATGACTCTAACAAAAACATTTTTTAAATTATTACTTTCTGCTTTTGATCTGCGTAGATTTTCTGGTTATAACATATCAATTAATTTTTTTTGGAGGTGTGAAAGAACTTATTGCAAATTGTATTAAAGGAATTCAAATGTATAATAAATTAGAAAAAAACCAAATGACCCTCTTAGTAAAGTAGGTCAAATTAATTTTTGCTATGAAAAAGCTATATAGATTAATTTCTAGCGTTTTAAAACTTGAATTTATATTGAAAAAAAAATTCAAACTCAGCCGTTCACTAAACCATATTGGAGATTTTTTCCTAAACCACAATAGTTCAACCGTTAGGCAACTAAATTATTGCTCTAAACCATATCAATAACTTTTAGATTTTACGCCTTCATAAGGAATAAATAAATAAAAACTTCTGAAACATTTGTATGTTATATCTTCAGTTGTGTTGACGCTGTCACAAATTTGTTGATTTACGAAAAAAAAAAACTAATATCAAAGTCTGGAACTTAGGCTTAAAATTAATCAAAAAAAGGTTAATCTTCACTTGAAATAAATAATTTTTTAATAATTCTCTTCCTCTCTCCAGGGTGTCTACCAGTCGGCTATTTCAATTTCAGACTGGCTCTCCATTGAGTTGGAGCTGGATAAACCTGGCGTACCTCGGTAATATATTGGCGAAGAAACAGTACAACCTTAGTGTACACTTAATCTAAACAATTTTTATGGTTGTACTACTATTGGTAGGTAGGTACTCGTAATGAGGGGAAGAACGTTTCCATAAAGTAGGTCTGCCTATTGTTTCTTTATGCATACTCCAAGATTGGAACCTTTTGTTCCTACATATCAAACTTTATGGTTGTCCTCATTAGTTCCAAAAGGAAAGACGATTCGATGCGGGATGTTTAATGTTCCTGGATTCTATCAGGGCTTAACAGCCTACATCTTAATGGCGTATATCGGCCACTATCTGTTATGAGGGGGGGATCTCTCTTACCTGTCGGCACTACCATTCCTCAAGGTATATTACTAGTGATCTTGTTTCCTATCGTTAATGATTTGCGCTTATTCGAGCTCTACAGTATTAACTCACTCCGGATTATATGGAATAATAATGATATAGTGTACTCTTAAGGATCTATACAGGTACAGACATTGATGAGTAATCCGTATAATTTGGCGGAGTACATCATATCAAGATGATTGGTACTGACGTAGGTTAGCTAGAATTGAAAACTTGGTTTTTAAACATTTTTGTTAGTTACAGTTTTAATTATTAATAAAATTGACTATTAGATTTTCGGTTTCATATTTATCGCCAGTTGGGGATAATTTTTTGTCCTACTTTCCTGCCATTATCTTATTTTAGTTTCGGCACGTTCTTCATGATTTTTTTTATTTTTATTTTTTTTTTTTTTATTCGCAGCCCATGAAGACGCTGACTAAACAAGCGGATGAAATATCAGGCCTTTCCACAAAAGAAGCCAAAAAAAACAAAAAAAAAAAAACACGTCGCTGAGTATACTCAGGTTCTGGAACATACGATGACTTAGTGGTTATTTTAATTTCAAAGAGGTGCCGCTAATGTACATTCCTACTTACATATCGTCTAATACTAGTTCTACCCAGTTTTTGAAATCAATAATTAAAAAAATAAAATCTGATCAAAATGTTTATCTGGAATTTTTAAAAATCATTTGACGATTTTTATTTTTGATCATAAGTGATAAAAATCATACCCTGAACATTATTCTTGAATAAAAATTTTACAATTAACAATAACAATATTTCTCGAGACTTTTTAAAATCAGACTTCTATATTCAGATCTCTATATTTTAAGTCTGGAGTAGTGAGTGAAGAATATTGTTGTTAACTATTAGCAACAGAACATCTGTATTTCCGAAATTCATTAGAAATTTTGCCTTACGAAAAATATATATATACATATACACATGTATATAGCTCAGGTACCGCGTGCACAATTAAAGTGATAGAAACATAATATTAAAATATGTGTTCATTAATAACGTATTCATACATATTAATATTTAATTTAAATTTTGTGTAAAAGGTGATTTTAATTATTTGATCACAATTTAATCGTTATTATAAATGTAATACCGTATCACTCAGTGAGTGATTATTATTTTTAATCGAATCAATAAACATCTATTTAATAAAATATCAATAAAGAATAAAAGATCTATTTAAATTTTTATTCATAAATCAGGCGATTTTTAAATAAAAAATCAAATATAATAATTACTTATACGATTTTGTAGGAAAAATAATTATCGATTTCAAACCATGGTTCTACCTTGAAGTTTCTTTAGATGGTATATATCGTCATTATGAGGGTTATTAAATTATTATTGTTGGATTACCAACCCACTAACGTACTTTTTAACTTGGATCTCTCGTGGAGTATTGGATTCCTCCGATTATTGCACAATACGAGGTCAAGGCACTTGGGCAACGTGGTTGGAATGTTGTGAATCCACCTTGCTGTGCCCTATCACTGTTGGTCAGTCCTGGTCAATTCTATATTTTACTGTAGTACTTATTTATTATGAAGAAAATTAATATCCGTGTCATAGATTGGGACTTTATAATAATTAGTACCCACTCTTAGCGCATATTTTATTTGTATCCTTCTCCTGTAGATTAACCCTAAGTTATACCTAAATAACTTAGTTTTTATTTTACATCATAATACAATTTTTATAATAATGTTACAAGGAAGTAAAATGATATAAATTATAACAAAATATTTTCAAAAAACGTAAAATAACTATTTAATTAACGTTACAATAAAAACATTGATAATTGAATAGGTTATGTGATTTCTTAAGATATTGATAAAAACTGACCTATGCCTTATATAGGAATAACTAACGTATCGTTCCAATTTGTCTTTTGCCAGACATTTTAGGGAAAGAAGCTAGAAATCTGTAAACGTATAGAATAGAGGCCTCTCGAAAGTTAAGAGAGAGACGATAGTTGGGTTCTTATAAATAGTTATACATAAATTTGATAGTTTCGTTAATTTCACACTTCTTGTTTGTTTATTTTCATCACTTACGTTGAGATTGTCGTATTGAGGCTTTACCTCACCTTTAGTATCATCCCGTATTGTTTCCAACTTTTTATTCATAGTTATTATAGTTCATTTAATGAGCTCCATAAAAATGAAAAAAACACTTGTGTACAAAATATAAATATAAAATTGAGGACTGTGTTTAAGATTTTAGGCATTATTAAATCACTAGTAAGGAAGTTACATAAAAAAATTGACTTACGTGATTTTAAGGTAAGGGCAAAATAAACAAAACAGTAAAAACAAACCACAAGAGTTATTTATTTTTAAAAAAGTGAATAAGGAACAAAAAAAAAACAATAAATCCACTTCCAGCCAGCGATTAATATGCATACAATAGTCAATTAAACGCGTGTTGCTGTTCCGACTGCCGTTGTACCAGCGCCACCTCTACGCTATTATTTATGGTTGGTCGTCATATATAACAGGCATGGCTTGGATGTGACGAAATACCGGTTCGGAATACAAAATGAACCAGTCCTCTATCTTATTTTGTTAAGGTTTATCTCTTCAGCGCTGCCTGCTTTATAAGGCCTTTCGATTGCCGGATATCAAATCACACGCTTCGTCCCCGTTTCCGGAAAATATAATATCTTTCCGTTGTCTGGTGTTTTATAGCGACGAGTTTCCTCCATCTTTAAGTGATAAAATTCAAATCTATGGCGGATCCAAGAAATTTTCTTATTGGGACGAGCATAATTCTGCATCAGGTAAATCCCTTTACCAAAGTAAAGAATCTTCAATCTCTTCCTCTTAGAAAATTTAAAACTTCATAGGTGAGACATTTCGTATTTACTAGATCAGCAGCAACATGCCTGTTCCTGGTCAATAGGCACATGAGAATCTACATATTTTTCCCCGAAAAAGGCCGTCCATGGAACAAACATCCTACCTATCTTAGTCGTAGTCTAGAAGCAAGAACAGTAGATTTCCTCTAGTATATTCATGTTAAAAGTGTTC